TATATGTGTGTGTGTATAAATGTATATACAAAATTTGTGTATACAAAGAGAAGATGCAAATGAGGTAAAATACTAACAATATTTTAGTATGTATCTGGGTAAATGGCATGTGGGTGCTCTTTGTACTTTTCTTATTCACGAAACTTCTTTAAGTTTGAAATGATTTCTAAATGAAAAATCAACCAAAAATTTTGTGTGTGGAAAAAACCCAATTTTTATCGGAACTAAAGCAATGAATATTTACATTTTAAGAAATCTGTGGAAACAGCAGTAAGCTAACTCACACAAAAAAGATATTACACTTCATAAGAGACAGTAGAGTTACTTGTTCAGCACAGAGAACTGACATCAGGACCCAGACACATCTCATTGGTCACATTTCTTCCCCTGAAATCTGTGTGGTCTGTGCTCCATCATTTTAACTTTGCTCTTGGGTGTTCTCAGTATCCTGGACTTTCCCCAATCCCCGTGTCCCCCTCAAAGTATCCTCTGCAATTTGTGACAATGTGAAAAATTGGCTAGAAACTTGTCAAGAAAGTATATGTCAGGGAGTTTTCATTCATTGACTAGAGCAACTTCAAGTATTTAACTTAAATTGTTTGAAAAGAGCATTTTTGTAACTGCTTAGCATTTTAAGCACACTTTTTCCTCCAGTGTTCTTTAAGCTTAGGGTGTTTTCCAAAAAAAGTTTAATCTCTACCTGTGAAACAGGACCTGTTACTCATTAGAAGTGAGGATACTACTGAATACTTCACAGCCCTGTTCTTAGTGTTTCAAGTTTTTTTGTTTTGTTTTTTAAGGTTCTTACATCATTTACCCATTAAAAATAAAACTAGCCTGCCTCTGGCGGAAACTGAAATAGTAATTACTTTCTTAAAATACACTTGTTTTTTTAAAACAGAGTTTCTGTTACATTGCCAAAAGAATTTGTTTGAAGAAAGATAAAAATAACGTACACACTATTTGAAAACAGCCTCGTTTAAAGGTTGCCATAGATTCTAAGGTTATACCACTAGAAGGAAGACATTTAGAACCTGCTCATTACTCAGCTTTCCTCATTTATGGGATCAAATTGTTTTATGGGCAGCGTGCCAGATTCATTTACGTGCACTGTAAGACAAATTGTAGAGTCAGGCATTTCTCTAGAAAACATCTGGTTCTTAAGAGTATTAAAAGGTGGGTAACACTTTTTTGCTCGTAACTATGATTTATGATGTTACAGTAACCCCCCTCTAATCTGGCAGGCAGACTTCCAGCAACCACAATCAGGAACCTGGAAGTAAGTGAAAATACTTCAGAGCTCAAGGAAAACAGAGGCCCCCAAATTCCATGCGTATGAAGGAGGGGTACTGCCTTTAGGTCAAAGTCCACTTCATTATAAAACTGATGGAGCAAATTAGCATAAGGGCTCCTAAGCCCACCTTTATATATCTAACACCTCTTTCTACAGTTATTTTGTTCCTTTACTCCCTTTACAAAAATCACACATCCCTCTCAACTCTAATTCTTCTAAACCATCCCCTGGACCCCTTTTCCTCCTCAGGCTTCCCCCTTTTCTCTTTCTTATACCTTCAGTATCTACTGACTTTTCCCCATAAATATTCCAAGATGCTCAAGTAGCTCCTGTCTTGAAAAACAGAAAAAAACCCTTTCATAAACGTCTGTAGCCATCACTCTATTGCTCCCTTACCCTCAGCCCTATAGCCAAACATTTTTCTCTTCTGTCTCTAATTCCTCACCTTTCATTCAAACTTTGTTCCAATTAGTAAGGGATCCTCTTCCTCCAAGGGGGTGCAGTTGCATTTGTGAGACCCAGAGTGCTAGCTTCTGCTCCTCTGCTACCCGCTCGGGTGGGTCAGTCTGTCCAGGGCTCACATGGCACAACTACACGTTGTGGCCCTGTGTGATTTTGGGTATTTCCTAAGGCTTCTTATTAGTTACATTTGGTAGGATCATCATTAAAACTCGGTTACTAGTAACAGTGAACTCCTATTACTGTTGCTATTGCCACTCTCCTATTGCCATTTTCTGGCAGTCTTTTTCAATCTTCTACTTCCTGAATCTTTTTCTCTGACAATTGAAATAAACCAGATTACATTTTGTACAAACCATTAAAGTGTGGGTGTTAAGAGTTTTTCTATTCCTCTTTAAGAAAGCTATTCTTTTTTTTTTTAAAAAAAAGGGAAAAACCCTTATTTTTAGTGTGTGTTCCTTGCAGTTAACTGAAAAATGGCAAATTTTTCATCACTCAGCTATAACTACTGTTAAAAGTTGGGTTAGTTTCGTTTAGTTGTGTATCTTACATATACATCTATTTATATTCTTTTGCAAATTAATGTTATATGAAGTTATGTTTCTTGTATTTTCACTTACTTTGTGAGAATCTTAGCAGTTAAAAATCTTTAAAAATTCTTTAAAAAATAGTAAAAAAAAAGAAAAAATCTTTGAAAACAGTTTTTGATGACTACATAGTACTCCATTATTGGGTAAACTAATATATTTGACCACTTCATTTATGCTGAATGTTTTGGCAATAACCAAAAAACCCAAGCTTTTTGCTTCTACAGTGTTTTAAACCAAAAAACTTTGAGGAAATTTCTGAATGTCCCCTATGATAAATTTCTCTAAGTGGGATTACTTGGTCAAAGAACAGAATCTTAAATCCATACTTCCAAATTCCCTTCCGAAAGGATGAATGTGGTGGTTTTCTTGCACTGTTGCCAATCTTTCATTAAAAACAAAAAGCAAAATAAAACATACAAGCATTTGCTACTTTATCAGCACTAGCACTGTTAATATGATTCTGTTATAAGGCTCTTCACTGACAGGAGAGTTCCTGTCAGTCTTAACTGGTCTTTTGGTTTCCATAGTGATTCTATTATCTATTCTAGTGCAAAGTTAACCTAGCTTCCTCAGCTGTCCATACATAAAACCCTTCCAGAATTGCTCTAGCTTCTTGACTAATGGGAAAGAGAGCTGTTTCCTTTTGGGACCCAGTTCACCATACTAGCTGGCCTAAGGTCAAAGGGCATTGAACTTAAAAATGCTTCCTTACTATGAGGGTGGTGGTATTCAAACCCCAAATGCACAGAAAATTCATTCATGTTGTGTCCCTCCCTCCCCGTCCTCCATGTGGGCCCCAAACTATCATTGAACATGCCATGGGCACTGATTCCTTCAAGCAGCAGTTCAGTTTGAGTTCCAGCTTTCCTGGATGTACAATCTTGGGCGTGTGCACAAGAAAAACATCAGAGATTAGTTAGTGCTAAATAGAGAGTTTAACAAGGGTGACAGGGTACAGACTGACGTGATGGCTACTTTAGAGTGTTGGCCTGGACATGGACAGGGCCTCTGAGAAGGTGATAATAAACTGGTACCTGAATGAAAGAAAGAATAAGCCTAGAGAGGGAAGCTTGGAGACAGTAAGTGGGGATTAGGAGGAGAATTCCAGCAGAGGAGAGGAGGTCAAAAGTCTGTTCGAGATGGATGAAGTGAGATTTATGCATGCAAAGCGTGCAACATAATTTCTGGTGGGGGAGGGGAGCAAGAGAGAGAGGGAAGGAGGGAGGGAGACAATGAATGAGAATCTTGACTCCTGTACGGCTGTGCTTCTAGGGGAACTGACTAGTCCTCTCCATCTCTGCTTTGCCTGCATTGTCTTTTTTTCTTCTGTGAAGGTTCTTCTCAACTGCAACTACTACTTGACCCTGTTCGGTTTATAATAAGTAAGTAGAGCTACTATTTATTAAGAGCCCAAGTGAGTTAGATTCATTAGGTTTTATGTACGTTCTTTCACTTAATTCTTACAACAACCCGAGGAAGGTTATTATCCTGATACATTACTTTATGGGTAAGAAAAGCAAAATGAGGCTCAGAGAGCCTATGTAACTTGAGAAAGTAGTAAAGCCAGACTTTAAACCTAAGCCGGTCTGACTTCAGAGCCGTGTTCTTCACCGCTACACTACACTGCTCCTCCCTTACACTTCTCGGTGGCAGCTGCCACATGTGTAAGAACGTTCATTCCACTCAGTTCTTCTTGTTCCTCATTACCTAGCCACCTCTGTGACAGGACGCTCAGTTTCATCTGCTAGCCACATGCAGTTAAAAGAGTTTTTCTTATAGACAGTGTCTCTCTTAGTTATGGAAGGCATCTTAATATAGGAAAGGCTGGTGTGGAATCCAGGTTCTGAAAATTTTTCTCTGACCTTGGGCAAATCACTTAGTTGGAGCCTCATCTCATCATCTGAAAAAATACTATTTCTCTGGAGAGCTGACTGAGAAATAAAAGACCTAATTTAAAGAAAGTTTCTAGAATAGTATCTAACAAATGGCAGAATAAGTGGCTGTTTAAGAAACAAAAGCAGGGCTTCCCTGGTGGTGCAGTGGTTGAGAGTCCGCCTGTCGATGCAGGGGACACGGGTTCGTGCCCCGGTCCGGGAAGATCCCACATGCCACGGAGCGGCTGGGCCTGTGAGCCATGGCCGCTGAGCCTGCACGGAAAAAAGAAACAACAACAAACTCCTCATTTTACAGATAGGAAAACTGATTTGGAAATGTCTTGCTGGGAGAAGAGATGTTCTACTTTCTCTATCCAATTTCCATGATTCTAGCATTCCATGATGCAGGCTCACTGGAACTACTAAGGGTATTCTGTTATATCACGTCTTTAACAATGTCCATTCAGGCTGAAAGGTTATAGCTAAAGAGATAATCTGTCACAGAACTGTACAGAACTGTAAAACAGGGATAATAATGTCTATATTATAGGACCGGGGGATAAATGTAATAAGACATGTGAAAGCATTTTAACAGGCATGACATGTTTCATAAACGCTCTACTTATTAAACATTTTCATGGAATACCATACATAAAAGAATGACTAGAATTTTATAACATATAATTGGAATTAAAAGGACTTTGGAAAATTGGAGAAGTGATCAGAAACTAGAATGTAGCTCAAAAGAAATAAACATGAGGTACTTAAGGAAAAGCAAGAGACTTGGAAAAATACTGTTTATTGAAAATGCAATTAAAATTGAAGACTGTGTTTATTGTATTTTTAAAGGCAACTGAAAAAGGTATAGATAACATACTAAAAATGATGTTAAGAATTGAGTTTATGAAGATTAGGTTAAATTCAGTGTAAAGAGTGAGTGCTCTCCCAGGGTGGTGGCAGGGATTCTAGGGAGAGCGGGGTCTGCAGCTGCGTTCACACGGTGTGCTTTGGGAGTCCCTACTGACCAGAAATATTCTCCACCAGATGTTACAGTGTCTAAAGTTACACCAAAAGACCTCGTCTTTGGGCTGAGGTTAAATATTGCTATAAAGGTTTACCTATTTAAACTAATTTCAGGTACTGGTTATTTCTTAAAAGGGATCACATAGGCATTGGGAGCAGGAAGAATCAGTTCAACAGAGAAGGGAAACACACACGCTCTTTATACTTTTCCACAAAGATTTTTCTAGGAAAGCCACATTTTCTGTAATACTACGCATTAACATGGGGAGCCTACCCTGATTTTGCAAAACTCACCATGTCTTTTGAGTTCCAAGAGGAATACAAATCATAAATTTATAAAATCTTTATTAAAAAATATATTTTCTTTTTCATAAATATTTACAGGGAAATTTACTCAAACCTTTGAAATAACAGAGACTATCACAAAAATGTTTAACAGAGAACAACAATTTTGTAAATGTATTTCCTGAAAGAAACAACTAATGTTCCTTAGAAAAAATATAGGATACTTAACTACCAAGATTTTAACAAAATATTTTTTATAGAAGTGGGTTATAATCTTTACCACAGAGTCACCAAATCTGCACCTAATCAAGAGAGTCAATTAAATAAACCAGCTCTCATTCACCTTCTCCATCAGAAGACATCCATTTAACATAGTGTTTCTCTTTATATACAATAGCAGCCTCTGCTGGAGAAAGAAAAGTATGCTTTCTATTACAAAGTATTAGCTTAAACCTATTTTGAACTGGAAGAACTCAGATTCTTTTCATTTCTTGCTTAAAAAAGCTAAAATAATTTTCAAGGTCTTAAAGATGTACGAGCCTTATCAAGTATATCTTTTCTGATTTTGGGGTAAGTTGGATGTGCTTCGAGAACCTGCAAAAACACACACACAAACAAAAAAACAAAATAAAACAAAAGCATAAGAACTTGTAATTCATTATCAAGAACTGCCGAGTCACAAAACTTATTAGAAACAGCATTACAGTTGAGATTTCATTATATTAATACTACAAATTTAACAACACTTTTTAAAGGTGATATCTGAGATGCGTGTGACATGATGACTCATTTCTATTAACAGCAATTAAATGAAAAAGGTAGAATATAATACTACATGTGGAAAATACAACAAATATAATTATTTCCTTAATAGATCAGTTACAGAAAACAATTATGTATCGATGATTTAAGATACTTTAAATAATTTAGCTATTTATGCATGATATTTAATAAACCCTTAGTTATTTTTACCCAGGAGCACACATCAGATTTACCTGGAATGATTTTGAAACATACAAATTTCCAGGTCTACTGAGTCTAGGAGTAGGGGAAATTCATTAAAACAAACAAACAAACAAAAAACCCTCCATAAATGATTCTAATGTATAACCTTACATTAATGTACAACCTTAACCTTAATGTGAAATGCTGCCTTACGCAGAGACTCAGTAATCAATAGCAATCGCTGGGGCCAAGTATTTACTATAACGATGCTCACACAGCTATCCGGGATAAGGCACATTACATAATTCTCTGCTAAGGAGCTTTTCTTGGAGCTCCCAACAATGTTTAGTAAAATGCCTTATATGGAATATCAATGTGACAATGTACATAAAGAAACTGCAAATTCTAAAACTGCAACTTAAATATTTGTCATTTTAACAAGGGATCATTTAGTCAGGAATCAATTCCAGAAGTGTAATTGAATGACTTCTAAATGACAAAAATACCTCTTCAATTTATAAATCTGAATCCTCTAATAACCAGAGACTTAGACACATACATAAGGACTTCTATTCAGAACAGTGATGTGGAGAATCTATAATAATCCTGAGATATCTTCTGACTTAAGGATTAAGTTTTATTTAACATGCTTCTCTAGCCTCTTTCTTTAAATTGACGTAAACATTTTATTATTTGAGCCCAATTAAAAACATATGTTTTTTCAATTTAAGTAAACTTTATTTTCTAAACTTTGAAAACTGGTAGTATCTCCCAGATATATGTGATGAGTCATTTAACCAAAATATGACATCTTCTATCTCTATTCATGTACATCTTGACATTAATTAAAAGTAGGAAATAGTGCATCTGAAAAATTTTAAGAAATCTGAATTTAAGTTTTACCTGGTGACATACGTCAATTGCATCCACAAATCTTTTTGCTTTTAAGTAATTAAATGCCAGTTTGTATCCTGTAAAGAGAAAAAAACCAACGATGATATAGTACTATTTATAGAGCATACTGTTAATATTACCTTTTTTGGCCTCCTCCTTTGTTTGCTTACTCTAATATTAGAGAACTCTTAGTGGAGGCTGGTGACTGTACTATGATAGAAATGATAAGATAATAGAAGGTGGAGTGACATAAAAGGAGAACAGGTAGGAAAGAAAATGGAGTTGTAACAAAGGACCACAGTTGGGTTAGAAGATGGCCGGCCATCCCACAAATGCGGTTTTGCAACTTACTAGAAAAGTCCCATTTGTTTCAGATTATGGTAAAAACTCATCATAGGGCAGTAAATGATAACACAGCTATTCATTTATACAGTACAGATTTACTTAACACGTCAGGCAAACTGGTTCCTTCAGTCACGAGGTTTACACTCCATTAGGAAAGAAAGTACCTTATTTAAGTAATTACGTAAGTACGTGAATAATTTCAAAACTGAGATAAATGCTGTGATATAAAGGTACAGGCCAAGAGCACTGTAATAAGAAACCTGGTTGGGGAGGGGGTGGGAGTCAGGCAAGGTCTGAAATCTGAAGGAAGAGGCATAAGGTAGACCAAGGGGGTGGGAAGCAAGAACACTGTTAGGCAAAAACTGCACACGGAAAGGCCAGTGGTAGAGGGAGACACAGCAACCAAATGGACCTGGAGTGCACGAGCGGAGCGCAGAGCAGGGGGGAGAGCGGCTCAGAAGACACTGGGTTAGTCGTTAGATAGCCACATCAGCGATGAGTAACAAGCACCACAGTTGCTGATAGTGAAATGTCACATTTCAAATACTGACAATTTAGAGGAAAGTTTTAAGACATTCTTAACTGACTGTTGTTCTGTAACAATGCCATAATAGTAAGCAAACTAAGGAAAAGGACAAAAAAAGTGGACTCAATAAATAAGATATAACACAATGTAAAATAATATGTAACTAATAAATTAAATATCTTGCTTTACCATTTAGAAATATGAAAAAGGGAAATCTGAATGTTGCTCTTAGGCCTTAATCAAAGTACCAAAGCAAGTTTTTAGAATTTCAGAACAATGTTTTAAAAGAATTGCTGGCTAATGCAATCATACGGTAGCAAAAAGGAAAAAGAATTATCTAAAATTCATTGCATTCGATACACACACACACACACGCACACACACAAATGAGAAATGTCCAAGATGAAAAAAATAAGTGTCAGAGAGGTAAACTTGGTATCATTGGAAAATAATTATAAAACAGATTAATAAATAGAGCTTATTAGAGACCTGGACTCAAGTCATAGGTTTCTTTCAGTCTTAGTGTCACCTCAGAAGAGTTATCTGAAAACAAGCCTTCTGTACTTCAAATTAGTTGATTTGAAATAGTTAAGAATTGCTAATGATGTGTTTGCAAACATGTGAAGTAAATTGAATTTAATGTTGAATACTTTCAAGCATTCACCTAATAAAGCCACTGTTAAGCATTGAAAAAAAAAAAGGAACATTTAAAAGGACATTTAAAAAGGAAAACAACATAAGATGTCATGCCAAACATGGAAACTAGAGCCAAAAAACCTAGACCTAACTTTTGGTTTCTGGCTTCCTGACTAGCTTTGAGACCTTAGACAAGTCACCTGAGCTGTCAATCTCAAGTTTCCTCATCCAAAAATGGAAGGATAACTCTGCTCTTAGTGTAAGTTTAAAGATCAAATGAAATACTTGCTGTGAAATGCTTTTAAAAATTTGAGTACCACGCAAATATTAGCATTTTTTTTCTGTGTAAACACTAAATTAGAAGCACAAAGTTTTCATATTGAAAGAAACCTGATAGAATCATTTCCTTCAAAAAACTTTAGAGAGGAAATGAAGAGCTAGAAATGGCAAAGAACACGTGTACCGCAGCTGCATGATACCTGTCAGGCTTCTAAGAATTCAACTCTTTGTAATCAGGAAAAAAAACGGGGAAGAGAGAGAGTGCACTCGTGAACACGAACAATGTGAACAGCCTAGTGACTGTCACGTAACCTGGGAATGACTGAAGGGAGAAACATGACTGTGTTCTCCTCTCAGTGGATCTCAGTTCCTGGTACCTTTCACAGTTACAGTACTCACGCCTGAATCCTATGAAAAGAACACAACCATGATTTGAAGGATTTCCTGACAAGTGAAAAAGTGAAATAAATGCATCATTAACTTGGCCAGGCAGGCTGGGGGTACTGGATGCAATGATAATCTTAAGGAAGAAACTGTGAGAATTAATTTAGAGCCTCAGAGAAATGCCAACTAAGGAGAAGTCAGAGGAACTGAAAAAATCACCTATAAAACACAAAGATAACACAGTGAAGGAACTACTGACTTGAAATCTCTTTATTTGCTGGTCTTCCAAGGAACAGAGTATTTAAATAACTGAGCTTCTAACTGTATTCCTTCTGGGGAAAAAAGCACCAAAATTAAATATATTTTAAGGATTTTAAGGAATGTTCATTTTACAAGCTGATTTTATTCTGTAAGACGCACAATACCTGAGAAGGAAGCGTTAGTTCCTGGGCTCTATACAAGTCTAGTAAAATAACAGACCTCAGAAAAATAAAAGGTAGGGGAAGTCCTGAACTGACAGCAGTAAGTCTAAAGATGACCAATCTGACTGCATATTAAATCTGAGTCATCACTGTGCCACGGCTGCTAAAAAGACAGATGCCATCTTAGGTTGAACTATCAACTACTAAATGTCTAATTTAAAAACATAGCCTCATTATACATACAATTCGTTCTTAAATCATACTTAAGAACTTGTCTATTTCTGGCACAACAGGTCAAGAGGGACATGGACAAATAAAATTGCCTTTTCGAAACCCATTTGGCCATGGAACCTCATCTCCTCACGCTCAACTCTCTGTTTTTAAAGAAATAACTATTAATATCTCAGCCAGTATTCCAAAGCAAAGTTTGGGAAATACTATTTGAGAGTTTCCAGGAGACAGCAAGGAGGGTGAAAGACTTGAAAGCAAGAATGGACAAGCACCTGAGGATGGTTTGGAGAGAAACTGAGGAGAGACAATGACAGAGTTTGCAATTAGAGGGCCATTATGCATAAGGGCGGAAGGACTCTGTGGGTTGCTCCAGAGAGCAGACAGGGCAGTGTCAACGAAGCCTATTTCAGTGCAACACAAAGAAAGAGAGGCCTGGGGAGGAGCTCCCTCACACTGTGGGAGACAGGAGTCACTAAGTATATTCCAGATGCTGCCCATCTGTTACAGATACTGGAGACTAGCCTTCCTCAAACCAATGGGCTACCACTGGAACCAAATGACGTTTATAGATGCTCAAGAGAAAAAAAAAGCTCTGTAGTCAAATTACTGTGGGAAACATGTCCCCTCTGTGATATCCATCACAGTATATATTAGGGTTTAGAGGCTTTGAGAAGTTCTGCAGTAAAGAAACCAGGAGGACTTGATTTGATGCAATGTCTTCCCACTTCCTTCACAATGGAACACCTTCCCCCCACAGCATCACCATTCTGGAATTAGAGGGTGAAGGGAAAGAAAGGGCAGAATTAGATCGGATGTCCTTTAAGGCGACTGAGGTGGAGTTTGAATCTCAGGAAACTACACCTAATAACTTAGTAGCTAATAATCTATTATAAATATAAAATTTATTTTTCAGATGGTCCGACAAAGGATGTTGGCTCTTAATGTGTATTTTGTCCTTAAAGAGAAAAAACAAATGCATTTAAATGAAGATTTACATATAAAACCCACGTTTCCTGTGAAAACCTAGTGTCTAAATTTTAAACTCACCTACTGCTGGATTTGTCTGATTGCCATGTTTCCATGCCATCTCATAGTTTAAGGCAGCATCTGTATATGCTTGCTCTTTTTCCATAATATATCCCATATATTCATAAGCTTTGCAGCAAGACTGAAGAAAAATGCAAGATGTATCAACAGATTATACTTGATATCACTAAGATTTTATGGAGTGCTTATGACTATAGAGGTCAACCATATCAACTCATTTAAATGGCACATAAAACAGTGGTTTTCAACCTTGGCTACGCAATCCAATCATCTATGGGACTTAAAAAAAGATTCTGATGCTGAGCCCTTATCTCAAACCTACAGAATCAGGATTTTTGGGTGAGAGGGAAGGAGATGTTTTATACATATACATGTACACTTTTTATTACAAATAATTCTAACACATATAGAAATTACAGTATGATGGACCCCCTGAACCCATGTCTTCAACAATGAACTCCTGACTGATACTGTTTCACTACTCCATACACTTGTCCTTCTGTATTATCAGATAAGAAACCCTCAGATACTACATCATTTCATCCATAAATACTTTAGTATGCCTTTTTAAAAATAAGGACTTTCTTTCAACATAACCACAAATTATCACACCTAAAATGTAACAACTCCTTGATATCACCAAATATCCAGTCACTATTCAAATTTCAAATAGTCTTAACATACTTTTTTGTTTGCATGTTAGGATGAGGATTCAAATAAGGGCCACACACTGTGACTGGTTGAAATGTCCCTAAACTTCCTTTTGATCTATAAGTCTCCTCTCTGTCTCTTTCCTTGCAATTAAATATAGAAGAAACAAGAATGTTCATCCTAGAGTTTCTCACAGCCCAGATTTAGGTGAGTGCATCCTTATAGTGGTTATATAATATATTCCTATGTCATTGATATTTCCTGGAAATTGTATTAGATCTAGAGGTTTGTATCTGATTTTGACTTAAGGGGAAAGAGGTGAAACTACTTACTTCATAGATCAGTGCTCAACCGAGCCACACTGCTCCTTATGAAAAAGCAAAAATGCACAATGCTGTATACATGTTTTTAGGTATTTTTTAATTGCTATTTTTTCCCAGAGTGTTAATTTTAAAAAATAGAAAAGTAGGTGTATTAAAATTCACTGCGTTATTTTAAGTTTGAATATTTTTTCTCTTTATCATAATTTTACTTTCCTTATTTTAATGCAAGAAGATACATCGCTAATATTTTCATGAAAACTATTAACCATTAAAAAATACAAACATGGATCAGGGCACACATTTTCCCTTTTTGCTTCAGGCTTCAATATAGCTCAGCACAGCACTGTAAGATCCTACCTGTTTTACCTTTTGATACTTTGTTAAAAAAATATTGCATTAAATGTCATTCATCCTGATCACTACATTGGACTGAGTGTTTATGTTCCCCCAAATTCATATGTTGAAATCCTAGCATCCAGTGTGATGGTATTAGGAGGTGAGGCTTTGGGGAGGTGAACAGGTCACTTGGGTGGAGCCCTCCTGAATGGGATTAGGGACCTTATAAAAGGGACCCCAGAGAGCCCCCTTGCCCTCTTTTTCTGCCATGTGAGGACACAGTGAGAACTCATTAGTCTGCAACCAGGAAGAGGGTTATCACTACAACCCAGCCATGCTGGCACCCTAATCTTAGACTTCCAGCCTCTAGAACTATGAGAAATATTGATAAATTTCTGGTGTTTATAAGCCACCCAGTCTATGGTACTTTGTTATAGCAGCATCAGTTAACTAAGATAATCACTGAGATTTAAAAAATATATATATATTTATTTATTTATTTGGCTGCGCCGGGTCTTAGTTGCAGCACGTGGGATCTTCGTTGCTGGTGCGGGATATTCGTTGTGGCATGTGGGATCTTTTTAGCTGTGGCATGCGGGATCCTGTTTTTTTTAGTTGCAGCATGTGAACTCTGAGTAGCAGCATGTGGGATCTAGTTCCCTGACCAGGGAGCACCAGGGAGTACTGGGAGCACCAGGGAGTACTGGGAGCACGGAGCCTTAGCCATTGGACCACCAGGGAAGTCCCGATAATTACTGAGATTTTAAGTGCTCCTTTAAATTTCGGACCTGGAGTGAGTGTTTCACCTGTGTCACCCCACTCTGACCCTCTCATAGATGGTGTGTTCTTCCATCACGTGACACATAATGTCTTGTGATGTTATACCCATTCATTAGTTCATCATGGTTGGAAAATAGTGACATTCTATCATTCTTTCTTCATTTATTAGCTGGAAAACATCTATATTGAGAAACACCTCCTTTTCCACTATTTTGTTTCCCAGCAGTATTGTTCATACAGAAAAGGCAGGATAGATGCTTAATTCTTTCCCTTTATTTGCCAGCTTTAGAAATAAGTCAGTTTATTAGCATATTTCAGTGGTGACCAATTAGGGTTGTTTGTTTTTTGGATCTTTGTAAACTCATGGACTTAGACATATTTGGTGTGTTCCAACTCGATGCAGTTACTACTGATATCTAAAGTGTCTCAACTTTGGCTAGTGGGAGTGTCCTCAAGTTGGCTCTTGAGTCCCTGACATGACTCCAGTTATCACTGATAGCTTCCTTGCCATCTGGTATGACAAGATGGTCTAGTGTCATCTTGCACATTTCCCGCCCCAGATCTGGATGATCTCCATTTTTTAATTACATAATTCAAAGTTTCTAAGCTCTGGTTCCTGAATTTCATGCTTCCAATATTGTCATGCCTCGGCAGTAGGGCTGACGCCTCTAAAGCAACCGTCATGTTCAATCATGCAATGTACTGCTGTCTGCATTCTGGCAAATTGAAATTCTATCTGCACTGAAACCTTAATTCCCATGAAATCTTGTTTAATCCTAGATTAGGCATGTAAGGGTTAGTTATTTGGCAGTTTAGATTTTTCAGAGCCTATTAATAAGTATTCTGTTTTTTAAGGCCAATGTAACTTAAATTACATGTATAATTACATAAATTGATAAATGGCTTGATATTTTAGGTTTTTAAAGTCCCCAAGAAAATAACTTAATAGTATTAGACGATCATGACTCCTCTTTGAAAAACAAATGATCTATTTTGTAATCTAACTGGCTCAAAGGGAATAAAACATAGATTTGCTGTGATTAAGATTTTGAAGTAACTGATAAGACTCTATAAAGATAAATATCCTCAAGTTTCTAAGTTGAGCACAATTATTTCTCAATAAATAGTAACAAATTCTTAACTTAAAACATGTTATAAAAAGACATCCTTTTCTGGGCAATTAAATACCAAAATGCACTGTTAGTAAAGAGCCTTAAATTCTAAGGACTTGAAGATTTTCAGTTTTCTACCTAAGATACACACTTTTCTACCTAAGATACGGACTTTTCATTAAACAAATCAAATTAAATGCTTAAAACACTTTTCCCTACAAAATATATTACGCAGAGTGGATTCTAATAATGAGAAAACAACACGCAGCTGCAGTCAGTTCATCAGGAGTATTTAACAGGAGGGACAGACGTGTGCAATTAATGCTCTTCTGCAACTTTCATTAGCTCTGGGATGAGATGGATAATCACAGGCAAACGCTTGACATTCCAAAACACTTTCTGTAAGTAGGGCAAACCACAGCTGAAACTTGAAACTGCAATCTCTCTTTATTTTCAAAGGCAAATGGCTTCTTTTTTATTACTAATATTTATTTCCTGATTGTGGTAAAAACAAACATTTAATTCTCTAAAAACACACAGAAATCCCTAGAAATGGACCAACACTCTATAAAAACCTATATAGAGGGCTTCCCTGGTGGCACAGTGGTTGAGAGTCCGCCTGCCGATGCAGGGGACACGGGTTCGTGCCCCGGTCTGGGAAGATCCCACGTGCCAAGAGCGGCTGGGCCCGTGAGCCATGGCCGCTGAGCCTGCGCTCCGCAACGGGAGAGGCCACAACAGTGAGAGGCCCACGTACCGCGCAAAAAAAAAAAAAAAAAAAAAAAAAAAAGCCTATATAGAAAGCTTATACAACAAAGGCTACCAATTATTTTTCACTCCTCAGTCACCTACCCTATTATGACGCAGGCACCTTTTTAACAGCTCTTCTGCCATGTCGTACTTTGCTGATTGAATATAAATGTCAGCAAGCAGCAGCCAACTTCTCTCAAAGTCCTCAGCATCAACAGGATTCCAGTTCATTTTTGCAATCCTTTTCAGCTGGTTTCGGGCTCGTGGAGTTTGTTTCAAGATCATATAAGCTGTTGCCATTCCCAAAAGTGCTGGAATATGATCCTTCTATAAGGAAACAAGAGTTGAGACCCCAAGATACACAAACATAAATGTGCCATGTTTAAAAGAAAAACACATGGAAAGTAGCAAGTGCTACATAATATAAGGACCGGCCTGTGGATTCTATTGCTGGCTTCACTTAAATACTGCGATATGGTCATTATGTAACACATCCAGTAACCTCAGGCTACCAGGAGGAACCATCTGGTCCAGGTAGTTCAGTAAGAATGCAGGTGCGGTAAACACGCAATTCCAGACAATTAGGAAAACTTCTTTAGTGAGACTGACTGGTTGTTTTGGTTTTGTACAGAAACAGAAAAAATAAAATTCTACCTCATTGTAGTCCTAATTGAACATTTATGTTTCAGATTCCGCATTCTGGCTCCTTAGTTCTTTCACCTATAAAACAGGACTTAACAGAATGGTTTACCTGCAAATGATATTCCTTATCTATACTGACTTCTATCGCTCTTTTCCTCCTCCCTTTTCATTTTATTCAAAAGCCTCTTTGCCCAATAAAGTTTGGTCAATGAAATGTTATAAATAAGGCATGCAATTAATTAATCATTTGGAAACTATATGAAATAAACTCATGCCTTAAAATATGCTTTTAGATTTGGAGTCTGCAGCTCCTTGATAGTAGCTACAAAAGATGATATTCTTTTAGACAGAGCTCAGAGTCAGAAAATGTCACTCTGCGAAACCAACAAGCTATTAAGAATTGGTATAAAATGGAGACCATTAGCGGTCTATCCAGAAAACTAACATACCTAAGCAGTTATGTGTATGAATCTGATAAAGATAAAGTGCTTCTCAAATTTCAGCAGAGGGATCGTGATGCGTTTATAAAGAGAAAGACTTCCATTTAAAATATAAATAAAAGATGAGAAACTGTGATGTAGAAATTATAATATCATGACTATAATAAAGGTGCACTGTAAGATAGCAAATTTCAGTAACTAATAACAAACAGAAGGAGAGCAGAGTGTTAAAAAGTTCGACGTCCAACACTGATCATGGTTGGAAGTCAGAAATAACCCTGGAATAGAGAAGGGCAATTCACTAGAGTCTGATGAACATGGTTTGTAGGAATATAAAACTTCCTTGGGTCTAATTTTATGTCTATCAATAAACTCCCAATATGTAATTTGTTCTCCTGATTAAGGAATGGCAGAAAGTTTGTTATTTGAACACCAAATACAACCAATTTGGTAGTAGATTTTGAAGACGTGTGGGATATTATTAATTATTTAACAGTATCCCCCATCCCAGGAGGGCTAGGGAGGAAAGAAAATACAGACCTACTATGCATTTGTCAGCCAGATCCTAGGACAGCCCAAGAAGAGAAGGGTCCTGGAAAAATGTCCAGACCTATTCACATACTAAAAATATCCCACACTATACCTTTAAAAATAAACTCTCTGATTTAAAAATCACACACTTTGAGTTTGATTAGAATGAATCAGTTCCTCACAGCTTGAAATCACTCCTCAGTGAACTGAAGAGTGCTTTCTAAAAACTGCAGACTTGCATTCTAGCCCCTGCACTAGGCCCATGATGCCTTTTCTGGTGCAGACATCCTAAGATGTTCAGCCAGCTTTTCTCTGTCACTCTGAACTGCAACAACTTTACATCACAAAAGACAATACAGCTCTATTATAAACAGTGTACCTTTATGGTTCAAGGTGAGGGGAAGAAAGGAAGGGGAAACACTTTAGCTTGGGTTTAATGCTTCTTCCACTGGTTCCTCCCATGTCTTCCTGTCATTTTTCAATCAATGTGAAGGCCACATAGTGCTGTGAATCTACCCTATGCTTCGATGCCTCCCTGCCTTTGTTCACATTTTTCCCTTAACTTAGAATGCACTTCCTCCAACTCTGCCTGTGAAAACGCAATTTACCCTGGTTCTTCTTGAATCATACCTTCTTCCATGGAAGGGGTCTCTCAGCTCTCCTTATACTATCTCCTACAGCAGTGATCCCCCAACCTTTCTGGCACCAGGGACCAGTTTCGTGGAAGTCAATTTTTCCACGGGCGGGGGGCAGGCGGGGGGATGGTTCAGGAAGTAACGCGAGCCACGGGGAGCAGCAGATGAAGCTTCGCTCGCTTGCCCGCTGCTCCCCTCCTGCTGGCTGGTCCGGTTCCTAACAGGCCCGGGACGGTCCGCGGCCTGGGGGTTGGGAGCCCCTGTCCTACAGCACTGTTATTTGCAACTTTAGGACAGAATGTAACAGATTTTGCTTTGCATTACACTCAGTATCTGTGTCTCATCTTCCGTAGACTACGAGAAACTTGAAGAAAGGGTCTATGTGTGGTTTATCTTTGTGATTCCGACTATGCTCAGCACCCACTGGTTACTTAATGAATAGTCATTATATTTAATATATGCAGCCTACGAGTTAAAAGGGAAAAATGCAAGATAAAATTCACTTACTAAACTTCAATTCATACATCAGTCTTTGGACAGTATGGCCAGTAAACAGATTTGAGGACCGTATATTACTAATCACATATGTAAGAATGATAAGAAAAATAAGGTAGTCTCAGCAAAACAAAGAACTGGCACAGTCTCTCTAGGAAACAGCTGTGATGTCACTTACTGCTTTTAGTGTTCTCTCTCAAACCTCACAGTTTAAACTCTCCTTACATGACAGAATGTTACTTCCCAACATTAGGGAGCTATGACACCTTACTTGCAATGGTGCTTTACCATGTTTTACAGATGTTCTTAGACTTACAGGACAGCCCTATTTCTGGTTCTGTCAGCTGCTGTCATCCATCTGCTGCTGCAGTCAATTCAACTGAGCACTGCTTCAGTGTCAGCAGAGGGGCTCTGCTTGAGGATGGAACTGGGCCGCTGCTGCCTTGCTGTTTTGTCCCCAGCGCGGCTTACAATGGTGGTTAAGTGCCACCTTGGATACTTGCACCCCAACAACAACAGGAGTTGCAGGTTTTCCAAAGCCCTCCAGGGTCCTGGGAGGCAGGGGGGAGGGGTCACTGTAGGAGGTTTTGGTCATTTACTGCTGCTGCTGTGACCTCTGAACCACAAGAAAACACAGCAAAATTCTGTACATCCTGTGAGAGGCCCCACATGAGTCTCCCACGGCTTACAACGCCAGTGAGTAGAAGAACGTGAAATCCCAAGTGCATGCTTAGAACTAGCTACTACCAACTGTTGATGGGATGGGTACCTAGAATTCCTTCCTTAATAACAAGTAATTGGAGAAATACAGCACTGTGTGAGGGAAGGAGAAATAAAAGGCCCAGGGGGTGAGAAGGGCAGTGGATCTGAACGGGCTGAAAAGAGGAGAAAACCTTTGATCTAATAGTAATAAAATAATTTATTATTATTTAATATTTATTCTTATTATCACAGGGGGTGATTTCAGTGTCACTAAAGAACAACATCATCATCTGCATGACTGAATTATAAGTTGTCACTACTGATCTCACTTAGCTCTAGAGCTGGAAAAATTTCAAGTTCACATAAGTGAAAAGGTGAGATATCAAGGCAGCCAGGTGTTTGTTTTCACTTAGTAAGTTAACCTAGGCTACACTTAACAACACAGGATAAAGCCATTCCCTTGAGAACTAATTTATGCCCTCTTGCAGAATTTCCCTTCTCTAGAACTCACTGTTCTGATAGAGATAAACATAACAACACGTCAACATGTAACAATGTCTCCTCTGAAAACAAAGGTACATGATGTAAAATCATACCAAACTATATTTCTAATTTTTAATAATAGTAAATAATGAAGTCAATCTTCAGAAAACAAATAACTAATTAAAGTACATATTTCAACACCACCAAGGAAAGCTAACATGAAGTTGAAAAAGAAAATCTACTAACCTCTGATGTTGCTATTTCAGTGAAGGTATTCAACGCCTGCTCGACATTAGATTTCTGTTTGGTAGCCATCAGGCAACAGTTTTCCATTATGCGAAGCTGCACGTGACCCTGAACAGTCTGAGGTTTTAGTTCCTTAAGGAGCTTTTCTGCTGTTCTCACTGCTAACTGCACAGACTCTTGCTTCTCAGTTGAATTACTGTATACAATACAGAATAAATCTATGTCTATCACTCACTAAGTAAAATTCATTGAGATTAGGGTACACTGGTTTCTACTTTTCTCACCAATTTAAAAGTAGTCCTACTGAAGAATGTCACTCATTCTCTTCTAATACAAAGTAAAGCACAGTTACAGTTTTAAAAACAAAACTAACATAGCTTCAATAAAACACCATTAAACATTTATTCACTTTAGACTGAAAACAAAAATTGGATACCGTCCACCTGTGCTAAATGTGTTCATTTTAGCTAATATAAAACTAGAATTCAGGGTAAGTAGAATTATACAATTATCAAATAGCATACCTACTCAGAAAACGAAAGAAAGAAGGGAGACTATAAAATACTGTAAATCAACTATATACTTCAGTTAAAAAATAATTTAAAAAAAGGAGGGAGCAGAAAGTAACTAACTTTGTTAAAGCACTTCCTACGTGCCAAGCACTGTGTTATTTCATTCAGTGTATGTTGAATCCATTTTACATATGAGAAAACCAAGGCTCCAACAGATAAAGTAATTTGCCAAAGATCACATAGCTAATAGATTTGAATCTAAGTTTGCCAGACATATAAAGTATATTAATGTTCCTCACCCAGTTACCTATTAGGTTCTCAGAAAAGAAATTCTTTACTTGTCAAGAGGTTATAAATTTTAAGTGCAATAATTTGAATGTGTAATAGCAATTTTCTTATATACATAACCACACCCAGATATAATGTATAAATAAATCAATTAATGAAAGGAAATGAAATTCTTAAAGCCTAATCACTAAAGCTATTGATCTTCTTCTCAGGCTTTTACCTTGTCTAAAACATTTTACACTGTTGGTAATCTTCTTTCAAGCTCCCCTCCTTTTGTTTCTTCTGTAAGATTACAGTTTTCCTTCTCTTTCCACCAGTCATTGCCCTATCCTTACCTCCCTTCCTCCAATCTCCTTAAATGTCAGCACACCCCAAATTTAGTTCTCAGACTTCCGTCACTACATTCTACTCGAAAAGAGGCCATTCATGGGGTTCCAACTACCCACTCTGAGCACCTATCCCCCAAATCTGTATCTCAAGCTGTGACCTCCCTTCTGAGTTCTATATTCCAAATTTGGTGTTTTCAACCCATTGCTGAAGATTTCCATGGGGACAGCCTATAGTTGCAAAACAGAATGTTTCCTTAACCTTTCTAAAACAAACAAAAATTAAAAATGCCTCTCCCCCGCTCTAAATCTTTCAATGGTCTCTGTAATCCAAGCCTTCAGGACTGCCACTGAAACCTCTCAGCAGTCAGGTTTTCATTTCTCCCACTCCTCTATGCAGCTTCCCCTGACTGCTCTGCACTGTGTTTTCTATGAATTCCTGCAACACTTAATAACAATTTAACTCACTTCTGTTTTGTTGCAAGATTGAATGGCTTCAGACACTGTCTTGCCGACCAGGTAAATTGCATGCATGCTCCTGGGGGCAGAAATGACCTCTCCTACTCCCCTTACACCCTTATACACTCCCCACTCTGCCTTCCCTGACCCTGAGGAGAGGGCGAGCAACAAGTGCAGCCTGACAGAAGTATAACCACTTACCCGCAGTGCACCACAGTGGCCAACAGCTGGCGCTCTGAGGCCAGGGAGGACTCAGTCTAAATCTTGCCACCACCATTTTCTAACTCCATCACGTTAGGTTAACTTGGAGCTTTTTCACACATCGTTAAAGGGAATAAATAAGGCAATGCATATACAGTATACAGCCAAGATCTGGCAGAGAGCCATCTGTTAAGAAGTTACTATTATTATTATGCGGACAATTTTTGCCAAGGTAATCACGCACTACGATTCATTCTATTTTCCACAGAGCAATTAGGGGGGGAGTGTCTTCAATAGCATGTCTGTTCTGATTTAGAAAACCTTCTAAAAGTATGTCATGCTTGTTTCAGAGAACAGTTATTCCCAGCTACGATTTATTCGCTAAACTGCCATTAGTGCTATCCTGGAATTTAGTTCTCTTTTATAAGATATCCTTGATTATCCCCAACAAGTGTTTCTGGAAAAAAGAGTAACTTGTCAAATACTACTCACCCCAGGTCTCCATCCAGATTTTCAAATACTTCACCTCCAACAGTTTCATTATCTGGATTCAAACAGATTTCTATCATATTATAAAGGGCATTTTGGCCCCAGTCACTGTCTTTCCGAGCCTTATTAAAATGTCGAAGGGCATCATTTGGTTCTCCAGTATACCTTGTTAGATGTTTAAAAAAAATTACTTATTGCAATCACTAACTACAAACTTTAAGTCGTTTATAATTTGTTTTGTAAATAAAACTATTATATTTTAAAATACAGAATTTTTAAAATTCAAAGTGTATTCTACTTTAGTCACAATGAGGAAAATAACCTATTATGTAGAATTTATTTGCCAATAAATTTACCAAAGATATAATCCTTTACAGTACTGAAATCCTGGCTCCAGTCTTGCTCTGGAGTTACGTTTCTCAGCCATTAAGAAAAATCTTGGAACATCCTCAAGTTTTCCACATCTTCTTAGGAGATCAATTAAACGAGATAATGTCATATAATTATCTAGAAACAAAGAACATTTCAGTTATGGACATTTTATAGCTTTTGCTTTGATGGTTAAAATCCTACTTCATTAAAGTATACTTTGCTTCAAATGAAGTGCAATTTAAATATAAATTTAAATTTAGTGCCTTAGAGGTTGTAAGTCTCTAAAGAGACTGTACAGGCAATGGATGATTTATCAAATGATAAGGGATGGGTTGGTCTGGTCACAGTGAGAGAATGTTCAATATAGGCAAATCTATAAAAATGTACATTTGTTGTGTCTTACTTTTCAATTGTCATTCCTGGGACCAAAACGTAGAAACAGCCTCTGTATAATCTAAACTCTTTAATGTAAAATTCAGGAGGATCAATTTGACTGCACAGGAGAAGTCTACCTCTGAGACCTGCTTCCCTACTTACTGCAGCTAGGAAGCGGGCGAGAACAGTACACGTTGATGATAATGTTTAGGGTGGGCAATAATTTTACTCCAGACTTGCCTTAAGGTGTACATGTACCTAACACACTCGATACCAGCTTACCCTATTATAACCTTAACATACTAGTCCCAGTATTTTAATCCTATTTTATCTTCTAAGGAAAAAGAACTAGTTATTTAGTCCCAGGTATAATTTCCTGCCAGGTTTCTAGAATGGCTTCTTCTAATTCTATTCAGTTCTTTCTCATCACTAAGATACTAAATTTTGAGAATCATGTTAATACATTTTAAGATAGTGAAAATAATGTATGGACACTTTAGAAAATTTGGAAAAGTACAGAAAAGTATAAAGGAGAAAAAAAAATCACTCATATTCCCACCAATTAGAGATTACCATATTTTGGTACTTTTCCTGTCATATATTTATGAGTAAAAAATCAATCTAAATATTTAAATGTAAACAGTGAAATACGCTGCTTACATATATACAAGGCTGAAGTCACACTTGGGGTTCTGATTTTGATTCAACATTATATAGTAAACATTTCCCAATTGTCATTAAATGGACTTCAAAAACACTTTAGTGACTGCACAATATTCTATTATATTGATGGCTCACATTTTATTTCTCTATAGTTGTGTTTTTTATGTATTAATATTTGGGCTCATAAGTTTCAATTAGCACAGGACTCGTAGGGAATTTATAAAAATCCTTATTTATATAAGCTATTCGATTCACTTTGATAGGGTGAATTCCTAGAATTAAAACACACAAACAAAAACTTTTAAAAGAAAGTTATCCTGATTCTATTTTCCAAGAAAAGAGAAGATACCATATAATCCAGCACTCCCGCTTCTGGGTATATACCCCCAAGAACTGAAAGCAGGCACCTAATCAAATATTTGTATACCAGTGTTCACAGCAGCATTATTCACAGTAGCCAAAGGTGGCAACAACCCAAATGTCCACCAATGGACGCATGGATAAACAAAACATGATATATACATAAATGGCATATTATTCAACTTGAAAAGGAAATTCTGACATGCTACAACACGGATAACCCTTGAAGACATTATATGAAGTGAAATAAGCCAGACAAAAGAGGACAATACTGTATGATTCCACTTGTATAAGGTATCTAGAGGAATCAAATTCATAGAGGCAGAAAGTAGCTGGTGGTTGCCAGGGCCTCCAGGGAATGGTGAGTTAGTGTACAGAATTTCAGTTTGGAATGATGAAAAAGTTCTTGAGATGGATCATGGTGATGGTTACACAAAAATGTGAATGTACTTAATGCCACTGAACAATACACTTAAGAATGGCTAACATGGCAAATTTTACATATGTTTTAGCAAAATATCATTAAAAAAGGAACCTCTGTAAGCTTTGCATCTACTCTTTTACATGATGTCAAAATAATCCAGGTTGACATCATCATTTGCCTTTTAAAAAATTTTTGTTGATGTATATAGTTGACTTACAATGTTGTGTGAATTTCTGCTGTACAGAAAAGTGATTCAGTTACACGTATATATACTTTTTAAAATATTCTTTTCCATTGTGATTAATCACAGGATACTAAATATAGTTCTTTGTGCTATACAGTAGGACACTGCTGTTTATTCATTCCACATATAATAGCTTACCTCTGCTGACCCCAACCTCCCACTCCATCCCTCCTCCAGCCCCCTCCGCCATGGCAACCACAAATCTGTTCTCTACGTCCTTGAGTCTGTTTTGTAGATAGTTTCGTTTGAGTCATATTTTAGATTCCACATATAAGTGATGTCATATGGTATTTGTCTTTCTCTTTCTGACTTACTTCGCTTAGTATGATCATCTCTAGTTGCATCCCTGTTGCTGCAAATGGCATTATTTCATTTTTTTATGGCTGAGTAGTATTCCATTGTATATATGTACCATATCTTCTTTATCCATTCCTCTATCAATGGACATTTAAATTGTTTCCATGTTTTGGCTACTGTGAATAGTGCTGCTATGAACACAGGGGTGCATGTTTCTTTTTGGATTAGAGTTTTGTCTGGATATATGCCCAGGAGTGGGATTGCTGGATCATAAAACGTAATTCTATTTTTAATTTTCTCAGGAACCTCCATACTGTTTTCCGTAGTGTCTGTACCAACTTACATTCCCACCAAAAGTGCAGGAGGGTTCCCTTTTCTCCACATCCTCTTCAGCATTTGTTATTTATAGATTTCTTAATGATGGACATTCTGACCAGTGTGAGGTGGTACTTCATTGTAGTTTTGATTTGCATTTCTCTAATCATTAGCGATGTTGAACGTTTTTTCACGTGGCTATTGGCTATTTGTATTTATTCTTTGGAAAAATGTCTATTTAGGTCTTCTATCCATTTTTCAATTGGGTTGTATTTTTATTGTTGAGTTGTATGAGCTGTTTGTATATTTTGGAAATTAAGCCCTTGTTAGTTGTATCATTTGCAAATATTTTCCCCCTTTCTGTGGGCTGTCCTTTTATTTTGTTTATGGTTTCCTTTCCTGTGCAGAAGCTTTACCCTTTCAAAGAACCAGCTCTTGGTTTTACTGATATTTTCTATCTCTTTAATCTCTATCTTATTTCCTTTATGATCTTTATTATTTCCTTCCTTCTGCTGAGTTCAGGTTTTGTTTGTTCTTTTTCTAATTCTTTTAAGTGGTAGGTTCGGCTGTTTAAGATTCTTCTTGTCTTTTGAGGAAGGCCTATATTGCTATAACCTTCCCTCTAAGAAATGCTTTTGCCATACACCATAGATTTTGTATGGTTGTGTTTTCATTGTCATTTGTCTCCAGGTATTTTTAAATTTCCTCTTTGATTTCATTGTTTACCCATTGGTTTTTTAGCAGCATGTTGTTTAGTCTCCATGAAATCGTTTTTTTCTCATTTCTTTTTCTGTGATTTCTAGTTTTATGCCATTGTTGTCAGAAAAGGTGCTTGAGATAATTTCTATACTCTTAAATTTGTTGAGGCCTGTCTTGTGCCCTAATATGTGGTCAATCCTAGAGAATGTTCCATGTGCACTTGAGAAGAATGTGTATTGTTTTTTTGGATGTAATGTCCTGAACATATCAAGTAAGTCTGACTGTTTGATTATATCACTTAGGATCTGTTGCCTTAGTGATTTTCTGTCCAGAAGACCTGTCCATTGATGTGAGTGGGGTGTAAATGTCTCCTACTATTATTGTATTCTTGGTCAATTTCTCCCTTTAGTATGTTTTATGTATTTGGGTGCTCCTATATTAAGTACATATATGTTGATGAGTATAAAATCCTCTTCTTGTATTGTTCCTTTTATCATTATATAGTGTCCTTCTTTATCTATCTTTATGGTCTTTGTTCTAATGTCTATTTTGTCTGATATGAGCAATGAAACTCCTGATTTCTTTTTATTTCCATTTGCATGAAATATCTTTTTCCATCCATTCACTTTCAATCTATGTGTGTCCTTTGCCCTAAAGTGGGTCTCTTGTAGGCAGCATATTGTAGGCTCTTGTTTTCCTTATCCAATCTGCTACTGTGTATATCGATTGGAGCACTTGCTCCATTGACATTTAAAGTAGTTATTGATAGATACGTATTTATTGCATTTTAACCTTGTTTTCCCATTGATTTTATATTTCTGCTTGGTCCCTTTTTTTTGTTTTTCCTTTTGTGGTTTGATTATTTTCTTTTGTATTATACTTATGTTCTCTTCTTTTTGGTTTCTGTGAATCTAGTGCATGTTTTTGACTTGTGGTTACCTTGTTTTTCAAGTATGTTAACCCCATCCTATATCTACTTGCCTTAGACTGGTAGTCATATATGCTCAAACACATTCTAGGAAATGAAAAAAAAAATCCACTTTTTCTTACTCTCCTCACCCATCTTTTTACATCTTCATGTTGTTCCTTTTGCTGTTCATTGTGGTTATCATCACTTTCACAGAAATTTTCTGATTTTTTTTTTTTAAATCTGTGTACTGGCTTATTCAGGTGATTTGCTTTCCAGCTGTGATTTTCTCTTTCCTATATATTCTTACTTCTTTTCTATTTAGAGAAGACTTTTCAATATTTCCTTAAGGAAAGGTTTAGTATTGCTGTATTCTTTTAGTTTTTGCTTGTCTGAGAAATTTTTTTTTTACATATCAATAAAGCTGTTCTTATATATATATTTTTTAATTTTTATCTTATATTGGAGTACAGTCAAGTGTTCAGCAAAGTGACTCAGTTATACATACACATGTATCTTTTCCCATTTAGGTTATTAGAGAATACTGAGCAGAGTTCCCTGTGCTATACAGTAGGTCCTTATCTATTTTAAATATAGTAGTGTGTATGTATCAATCCCAAACTCCCAATTTATCCCTTCCCCCCAACCTTTCCCCTTTGGTAACCATAAGTTTGTTTTCTAAGTCTGTGAGTCTGTTTCTGCTTTGTAAATAAGTTCATTTGTATCATTTTTTTTTGGATTCCGCATACAGTGACATCATATTTGTCTGTTTGACTTACTTCACTTAGTATGATAATCTCCAGGTCCATCCATGTTGCTGCAAATGGCATTACTTTGTTCTTTTTATTGGC